ATCTAATGATTTAAGAAATTGGTGTCAGAGAAGTGGGATAGCTTCAACGCATTAGAACACGTGCATACTAACTAGTGTGGTGGATGCCTATCCTTTAAGCTGAAAAGGACCAACGAGCCTTAAGAAGAAAGAAACCCATTGAAGAAAGAAAACTACAAGTAAGAAACTACAAAGCAACAAGAAGAAGGAAAACAACAGGGGACACAGCGAGCAGCAGCCACCCAACTGCAGACAGACTACTGGAAACATCGCAAGAGATCCACTAGCCGCCTGGAGAACACGACTGCCTCCCGATGTACCCTTGGTAACGTACAATTTTAGTCTAACTATTTTTTGCGATTTATCTCTGTGTGTGTGATTTTTACAACTTTTTATTTGCATTTTTGCGCATTTACTCTATATATTGTCGATTTTCACGTATTTTTCTATTTTACATTTATATCTTTTTGCATTTTCCCTTGACATTATTGAATCTTTTTGAAACAACTTTCCATTAAAATGTCTACTAACGGTTCAGATAATTACCAACCAGCTGAAATTCCTGATAACGTTCATGCGAACATTGAACCTTATAGATTATCTGAAATATTTTCGATTGTACCCGAGTACGATGGAAACCCGATATTGCTATCGACCTTCATCAACGCGTGCCGAACGGCATATCAAATGGCCGTCGAGGAGCAGCGGCTTCTCGTCGTTTTACATATTAAAAACAAACTTCGCGGACGTGCCGCCGAACTTGTGAACAGCCGAAACCCTTCCACGTGGGAAGACATACGGTCCCTGTTAGAAACCCACTTTGGAGATCTTAGAGATCTCACATCTTTAATCGCGGATCTTCAACACATGCGCCAACTCCCCAACGAATCACCCCTAACCTTTGCATCTAGACTGCAGACGCATGCAGCCAAAATGCATTCCGCCGTGAATAGACAAAATCTAAATCGCGAGCAAAAATCTGCTCAAAGTTCCCTCATCGAAACGATGACATTAAATTGTCTATTAACAGGATTAGACTCAAAAATAGGACCTGTTGTGCGATCAGGACATCCCACGGATATCTTGACCGCAGTTTCGTATATCAAACGAGAATTACAACTCTCATATTTGGAACGACAAAAATTCGCCAGGGCCCCAAACCCGAATCAAAATTCAGTTATTCGAAGACCAAACCCTAAAATTTGTAATTTTTGTAATCGTCCCGGTCACTTGGCAAATGAATGCCAACGGAGACAACAGCCTACAAGCTTTGCCCCAAGACAGTTTAACCAGCCCCAACCTCAAAATTACCCTAGGCCGAATCAACCTATGCAAGTTAGACCATCTACATCTAACTACCATCAAAATTCTAATCAATATCCTCCCAGACCATCTGTAATACGACCAAATGCGCCTAACGCGAGTGCGCCAAGACCCTCTGTAATTCAGAGCAATCCAAATTTCCAAAACCCTAATTTTCAAAGAAGTTTTAGACAAAATCCTCCCAATCGAATTAATTATGTCGCCCCCGATTCTTACGATTATTCCGACTACGGTGAACCAGACCTATACAACACGGACTACGCTAATGAATATGACGATACCCAGTACTCCGCCTACACACCTTCCCCATACGATGATTTTAGAGAACCCAGTAACGATTATTGTTACGAATATAATCAAACCGCCGATACATTTGTTGACAACGCTTATTCGGACATACAACAATTCCAGGATTTTCGGACCAAGTGTTTGAAAGAGAAACCCCCTGCGGAACCCAACGACAGTACCGCGATAGTATGTGCGAACTTAGCGAATCTCAGTGTCGAGGACGCGAACGCGAAACCGTGTGCGAGCGTCAGCAACACACGCGATCAGATGTTCATATAAACCCTCCGTTTATAGTCCCGTCGACAATTCACCCAGTTAGCCCAGACAACCTATATTACATTAAAGATGCTACTGGAAAATTCAAAATTCTCATTGACAGTGGTGCAGGTTGCTCCATTTTCAAACGTAACACTTGTCAAAATTATACTAATCGTGTCACAGAAAATATCTCTATCCGAGGTATTACTGACGAAAAAATTAGTATTACCGAAGCAGTCTTAGTCCCATTTGCTCCCAATGATTATCACAAAATTTATGTCCATGATCTAGATATTTCATTCGATGGCCTTCTTGGGTCAGATTTTCTTGAACATTATGATTGTATTATCGATTTGAAAAATCGTCAATTGATTACAAATTTCAAAACAGTCCCTCTTTTCAAAGTAGGTGACGAAAATAATTCCAAAGCTTCTCAATTTAAAGAAAAGTCCCAAGCTTCGCAATTTAAAGAAAATTCTCAAGTTCAAAATGTTATTTCCATTTCTCCCAGAGTTGAACAAGTTGTCAAGCTCGAATCCGAGCTTAGAAATACTGAAGCCATTCTTCTGGCGTGTGAGGTAGAAAAAGTCCGTCTACCCAGTTCCATAGTTAAAATTGATTCTAAAGGCGAATTCCTTACTACAGTATTAAACTGTAATGCCATTCCAAAAAATGTAATTTTACCCCAATTAACTTTCGAGCCCTTTAACGAAACTTCTATCAATAATTTCAACACTTCTTTACAAAATCAAAGTCAGTATAACCGTAGAGATGTTATTAGAGATCAATTACGTCTCGATCATCTCAACGAAGAGGAAAAAGGTTTAATTACGAACCTTTGCTTAGATTTTTCGAACATATTCTATTTAGATGGTGATAGCCTGTCATTTACAAACGAAATTAAGCATTCCATTGATACCACTACCAGTAAACCAATTTTTACCAAATCCTACCGATACCCTTATGTCCACAAGCAAGAAGTCAAAGATCAAATTTCAAAATTACTAAAACAAGGTATTATCGAACCTAGCACATCGCCATGGAATTCTGCGGTGTGGGTTGTACCAAAGAAAATGGACGCCTCTGGTAAACAGAAATGGCGTATGGTGATTGACTATCGTAAGCTTAACGAAATCACCATCGATGATAAATATCCCCTGCCAAACATTTCCGATCTACCTGATCAATTAGGGAAATGCCAGTACTTTAGTACACTGGACTTGGCATCTGGATTTCATCAAATCGAGATAAATCCAGTTGATGTTCCTAAAACTGCATTTTCAGTTGAAAACGGACATTACCAATTCTTGAGGATGCCTTTTGGTCTCAAGAACGCTCCTGCCACGTTTCAACGTGTCATGGACAACATCTTGATGGGTATACAAAACGAAAGATGTCTTGTATACATGGATGACATAATTGTCTATTCCCCCTCCATCCAAGAACACATCAGTAGGCTTACCGAAATTTTTACGCGTCTTCGGAAGTCGAATTTCAAAATCCAGCCTGATAAGTGCGAATTCCTCAGAAAGGAAGTAGCCTATCTTGGTCATGTAATAACCCCTGATGGCGTTAAGCCCAATCCAGATAAAGTGGATTGCATAAAAAATTTCCCTCAACCCAAGAATCCTAAAGAAATAAAATCTTTCTTAGGTCTTGCAGGTTACTACCGACGCTTTATACCAAACTTTGCCAAAATTGCGAAACCCCTTACCAGACTATTACAGAAAGACGCAGTATTTGACTTTGATAGCGAGTGTGTTAAGTCATTTGATACTTTAAAAAATGCTTTAACAACATCTCCTATACTGATCTACCCCAACTTTGAAGAGCCTTTTGTGCTTACAACAGACGCAAGCGCTTTTGCGATATCTGGCGTTCTTTCCCAAGGTCCCATAGGTAAAGATCTCCCGATAGCCTATGCATCTCGTACACTTTGTAAAGCAGAAACGAGATATTCCACCATTGAAAGAGAACTTCTAGCTATTGTCTGGAGTGTAAAACATTTTAGACCTTATTTGTATGGTCGAAAGTTTAAACTCGTAACAGACCATAGACCCCTTACGTGGCTTTTCTCTTGCCGAGACACCGGAAGTAGATTAGCAAGATGGCGCCTCAAACTAGAGGAGTACGACTACGAAATAGTGTACAAGCCAGGCAAGGCTAATAAAAATGCCGATGCCCTATCACGTATCAAATTACCCAAAACTGTTAACGCCCTTACCCATAGTGACGAAGAAGGAGAACCTTCTACCCAATTTTCCGAAAGTGAATTTGATATCTTTGCCCGCCTTTACAAAACCACATCCCTGATCGATTATTCCAAAATCCAATTTTCAAATTCCCAACTCCTAGACAAAAGTCATAAACATAACGTCACGTTTTTCAGACAAAACACTCTATCTGATCTTCACGAAAAAATTATCGAAGACATATTCGAGGAAAATCTTGATTTTTCTGCAGATAAAATTAACATCGCGTCTAGCAAAACAACTAAAGATAGAAAATACTATATTATTCCTGTGCCATACGATCCCGTAACTTGCATACAGCATCTTTTCTCTGTAATTTTAACCAACAAAGGTGTATTCGACCTATCCCAACAAATCTACGTTGAAAATACTTTGGACTTACCCATTTTAGAAATTTTCTCTTTTATTTTTTCGGATGATAATATCAAACTTGTCGTTTGCCAAAACGTCACCAAAACTCCTAGTCCCGATGAAATCCCCGTCATTTTAGATCAATACCATTGTGGTAAGAAAAACATTCATCGAGGAATTAATGAAACAATTAGGCGAATTCGTGAACGATATAATTGGCCCGGCTTAACTAAAGACGTAGAGCATTTCATCAAAAAGTGTGAAATTTGTCAAAAGACCAAAATTTGTCGTAAAAACCTCAGTGCCCCTTTTGTAGTAACTGAAACCCCTAAAGCCCCGTTCGAAAGAATCAACATTGACATTTTGGAAGTCCCACCTAAATGCTACGCGCTCACAATCCGAGACGAGCTAACAAAATTTTCTCAAGCCTATCCAATTAGCGACAAATCTGCAAAATCTGTAGTAAATACTCTACTTTTCTATTTCCAACATTATGGTACACCTCTCCGAATACACTGTGATTACGGAAAAGAATTTGACAACGCCCTCATGAAAGACCTTTGTAGTCTTTATGACATTAAATTAACTTTTTCTAGTGTCAGTCATCCCCAGTCCAATGGCTCGATTGAGCGATTTCACGCCACTTTATTGGAAATTATCAGATCCCATGTATCCGAAAATCCCGACGAACATCCCTTCAATATTCTTCCCTACGCTGTTCAGTGCTACAATAGTACTAGAAATAAAACTACTGGCTTTACACCATACGAGCTCGTGTTTGGCCACACCTCTGGTCGTCCGCCCGAACACGTATATTTAGAAAAAGAATTGATGTCCAAGTATGTTCGAGACATTCGGAATAAACTCGAATATTACTACAAAATTGCCCGCGTGAGAACTGACGAACAGAAGCAAAAAGCAAAAATTCGCTTTGATAGTAGAGTGTCACCCAATTTACAATCATATAAAATTGGCGATGAAGTCTTTGTGAAACAGTCTCAAATTTCAAACAAACTTCAGAACAAATTTGATGGTCCATTCGAAATTACTCAAGTTTTTGAAAATTCTGCGCTCCTTAAGAACCCGGAAACAAAAAGAATAAGTAAAGTTAATTTTGACAGACTGAAACCATGTTTTGAGACTTAGTTTCTCTTTCAGGTGCAGTCTGCTGTTTCTTGCGGCTGTCACAGCCCAGATAGACATCAAACCGCTTAACAACACCTTAGGTATCTATTTTCATGAAGACGCCCCTCTTCAGATTTCCAACGACATTTGGACACTCCTTGTATATAAAGACTTAGAACTCATTAAGAAAGCACTTGACGATAACAACAATATTCTGGAACACTTATCATATCTCGTAGACAAACCCACCAATCGTATGAAAATGTTTAGTGGTGAAATTAAAACTCATACAAGTCTCCTTTATCAAATTTCTCGTTCCTTGGAATCTAAATATTACGCAATCTTCGATGACACTGTAAGCGCATCGCGGATGAAACGCGGTCTGATTAACGCTATAGGTACTGTATGGAAAGCAATAACCGGCAACCTCGATTCATCGGACGGTGAATACTATAACGATTGTATTAACAAAATTTCTAAAGATGAACATGAGCTCGAAAACCTCATGAAGAACCAAATTTCTGTTACCATGTCGGTTATCAAGAATTTTAATAACACTATTCAAAAACTTATGATTGATGAAACTACGTTTAATGAAGATATTAAGGTTATTGAAAACAAAATTTATGAAATTACAGACGATCTTGCATTTTATGAAGCTAAATTCCAATTTTTAGAAGTTTGCGAACAATTAATGGAAAGCTACATGTTTCTGGAAGAGACAATTAATGATATTCTAAATTCAATTACTTTTGCACGTTTAAAAATAATACATCCTTCTATTATCACTCCTCAAGACTTAGTAAAATCTCTTCAAGAAATTTGTCACACTTTGTCGAGAAATAATTTACCCCTTCCGGTTAATTTAGCAACAGTGTTAGAGTACCTTAATCTTATGGAACTCGAAGCATATCAAACTAAAACAAGAGTAGTATTCGTTCTACGCATCCCGTTATTAGAGCCCGAAATGTATACTTTATACACAGTGATTCCTCTACCCATTCTCGATAAACGTACTGGTTTGTTTCATGTAGTCTCCACTATACAGAGGTACATTGCTAAAGATAGCGATTCTCTTTTGTACGTTTCCTTTCAAAACTTAGGTAGTTGTAAAGTTCTTCAGTCTCAGGTGAAAATCTGTTTCAACCTCTTGCCGTATCCAATAGACAGTAATGCAGTCTGCGAAGCACAGTTGTTGCGAAATCCGGTCGATCTGCCGACAGCCTGCCAAATAGCAATTGTGGCATTGCAAGATTACCAAATCCAAGAACTTGCAACCAATTTTTGGCTAATCACATATCTAGCCCTCTGCCAATTACGATGAAGTGTGGACAACGAGAGACTACCACCAAAGTGATAAAAGTTAATTCACTTTTAAAAATGCAACCCGAATGCAGTGGCTTTGTAGGCACCACGAGATTACATTCTAGATATTCTGTTAGCACCTACAAGAATATCACATACAAAAGTCACCCTGTAGAAGTACCCTACAAATGCTGTGAACATCTCCCAGAGAAACAAAATTTACCAAAATTAAAACCGATCAAGCTAAGCAAGATCGATACTGAAGAACTCGAAATTGCCAATCACAAATTAAACCAATATTCTGAACAACTGGACAAAATTATGAACGAGCCGTTTGTTTCAAGACATCTCTGGTTCACGTATTTCATCATCACCCTGTTAGTTATCATCGTAGCTTTGTACCTGTTCTGCAAGTGCAGAAAACGTAGACCACTCAGCATCTGCGCATCAAATTATCCAGCCGATGGTCCATCTCCAGGAGCACCAAAAGTCCGGTACATTCCCAGACCTTTTCCTCGACGTAGACCAACCATCCAGCCACATGAAGAAGACATCGAACTGCAGTGAGTGTTCCGTGAAGTGTTTTCACTGTTCAAAAAGACATTTCCAATTTTTGTGTTATCTACCATGTGATTTTGCCCGTACGACTGTACGATTGTATCTTATTATTTGTTTGTTCCAGCTTTGCTTTTAGATGTTATTTAGCATCGCCAATGTACCGCATTTATGTTAACAATTTTATTTTTCAGAATCTATATTTTCTGATGTTATTTTGCAATTTTATTACTCCTACTTTTATATTTTTATATTTTACAATGTTTACAATTTACATTTCTACATTTTTACATTTTTGAATTTTTACATCTTTTACACTTTTCTAATTTTATCAAAAGTTGTCGCATGGCAACAACTTTTTGTAATAGGGGGAAGTTGTTATATGCACTCAAAACAATGGACTTACTATTCCATACAATGTTGCACCAGACGCTAGCTCAGCAACAGATAACGACTTCTCGCTAACACGTTGTTTACGCTTTATTTAATAGAAGTGCTTTGTAAGCACACCAATAGTATAAATAGGCCTTGCGCCCATTTCATGTCGTTCATTACCCGGCTAGGCACCGTAACAGTCACTTATGTAAACTTTATGTTCAATACCAGGTTAGACTCCGTAAATGTCACATTTGTAAACCTTTTGTATTTTATATGGACTGAAGCTTCAGTCCTCAAATAAAATTTTTTTAAAAAGTTATTTCTAAATCTAATGATTTAAGATACATATACACATATACGAGTATATGAACGTTGCAGGGTTTTTACTATTACATTAATTTTAAATTTCTTCCATACGTATCATGTTTGCAATTTGATGTCGATTTTTTTCAATTATAAATTTTTTGGTTTCAATTTTAAATTTTGTTTTATTTGAAACATATCTTATATAATTTGGTAATATGTTATATAATCTACTGGAAAGGTAAGTATGACATCTTTGGCCTATACTTTTTGAGTTGAAAGGTGTTTGCTTAATGTTGTTGATTTTGTTTCTACTTTGATATAAGTGAACTAACGGAATAAGTTTATTTCTATGGTGAAATTGATAATTTATGATTATAAAAAAATTGTTGCCTAGGGTCTAATAGTTTTGCTTCAGAGTACAACAGATTAGATGGGTATAAGACTGGTTTGTCAAAGATTATTTTTAAAAATTGTTTTTGAATAATTTCTAATTTATTAATTTGGTTAATAAGTGCTCTTCCCCAACCTAATATTGCGTAACTTATACGACTTTCGATCATAGCATTATATAAAATTTTCATTGTTTTTTATCCAAATATTAGTTTAGATACTTGAATTTAAACAAATTGGTTATTACATGATCAATATGTATATTCCACTTTAAATGTGAGTCTAAATATACACCTAAATATTTTATTTTGTTTGGTAAATTTATTTGAGTATTTATATTATCACAGTTAATCTGTATAGATACAAAGGATGGTAATTTGTTTCTGTGATTTGTGAATGGCATGAACATAGTCTTTTGAAAGTTAATAGTTGGGCATTTATGTCTGAACTAGTCTGCAATCATTGTTAAGTCTCTTTCAACCTTCACTTTTAGATCATCCCACGAGTTGTTATCCGAGTAAATGATAGCAGAATCGTCTGCAAAACATATGATTGTCCCTTTAGATTTTAAGCTCAGCAGGTTATTAATGAAAAGTGTAAATAATAAGGGGCCTAACACTGTCCCTTGTGGTTTATAATTTTCTCAATAATTTTTGCAAGGCTTGATATTAGAGTTATATGCCTGTAATTGTTAGTATCTGTTTTGTTACCGGATTTGTGGATGGGTTATACTACTCCTATTTTATAATCATTTAGAAATCCTCCCGATTCAATTATCAAGTTCGCTATGTACGTCAAGGGCTTACTAATTTCGGATGAAATTTTCTTTAACATTTCTGATCGTATACCATCAAGACCTGGGCTTTTTATTTTTCAAACTGTGTATGGTATTTGTTATTTCATTTTCAGACACAGGTTCTAAGAAAATCGATTGATCTATACATTTTCTAGAACGAATATTTGTGTTAGGTTTATTTATTCTCATTGCTAATTTTTTCCCTACTTCTATAAATAATTATTGAATGCATCAGCAATACCTTTACTTGTGTTAAGTGTAATATTATGGAAGTTTATTTCTTCAATTTTTGTTTCAGGTTTGATTTTAAAGTCAGATTTGTTGTTTTGTAGTTTTTCTGTGTAATATTTTGGTTTCCAAATGTTGATCAATTGTCAGAGTTTAGTTTTATAGTACAAATAATTTTGTTTTGTTTCGTGGATTTGTCTTATATAATTTATATTTCTCGTTTTTTCCTTTGATAGATTTAATTAGTCCAGCAGTTACCCAGTTTTTATTTTACTGCCTTTATGATTTATTTTAATTTTTTTGGTATTTTTTGATATATTTTCAGTGAATGTTGTAGTCAGATATTTAGTTGCTGCGTGAACATTTTTTATATTATATAAGTTGTTCCAGGTTTCAGAATTTAAGTTTATTATTAATTTTTTATAGTCTATATATTCTTTATATTTCGCTTTATTACGGTTAGTATGTACAAAATCTTCAAGGTTGACGGGTAGAGTTGATACTGTACTATAGTGATCAGTAATATCTGATTTTATTACGAAAGCTTTACAATTGATTTTCTTGTTTACTTCTTAAAAAAATGTGGTCAGTACAAGTACATGAGGTGCAGAACAATCTATTCGGAATATTCACAATTGAGGTGAAGTTTGGTATAGACAACATGTTAAGATATTCATGAACAAGCATATTGTTGGTAGGTATCTAAGATGTTTATGTTGAAGTCTCCATTTAAAACGCGGAAGTCTGTATTTATAACATGACCACCAAAATGAGCAATTAGCAAATTTTTGATCCTGTTCCAGTCTGTGGAACCGCTAAGAGAAAATACTTGCTCTGCAGCACCAGTCAATTTCGAGAAAATGCCATGCAGCAGTATTTTGTTTTGGACACATCCTGTATCGTCAGTGTTCCAATAGTTATTTAATAAATCTGTGCTTATTTCTAAATATCTATATAGTCTACAGGGATTTCCATCAAATTCTGGGACAATTTGGAGCAATTTTATGTCGAACTGGGGGGCACTATTTCTACTGGGGCTCGTCATTATTATTTTTTCTTGTCT